CCTATACGATTTTGGGGGCTCCTTATTATAATTATAGCATAGTATAACATACCCCAAAACCCTATTCTAACTGTTAAGGCCCCTACTATAGAACCCTAGAGCCCTATCGTAGATCCCGTATAGAACCCTTTAAGGATCTTTAAAGGAACCCTATTCTAATTACTATTCAGGCCCCTACATGAGTCGATTTCTCGTGAGGCTTGAATCACGCAGGCCCGGCTCCCTACAGCCACGAACATTAGGGTTTAGGGTTCAGGGTTTGGGGTTCAGGGGGTTTGGGGTTTAGGGTTTAGGGTTTAGGGTTCAGGGTTTGGGGTTCAGGGGGTTTGGGGTTTAGGATTTAGGGTTTAGGGTTTAGGGGTTGTCAGGAGGGTTTAGGATTTAGGGTGTTGGGTTTAGGGGTTTGGCAGGATGCCGGGTTCTGCTGGGATCTTGTTAAGAATCTAGAGTAATTGATATGGTTTCCTTATTATGGTAACTTAAATTAAGTCCGTTAGCAAGAACCCAGTCTGGATTTGGGGGTTTACGGGACTTTAGGGTTCAGCGGAAGTTCAGGGTCTACGGCTCGCAAGGCCACAGCCAAGATCGCAAGGAATGCAGCTAGCTGGATCGTGACGGCTCCAAATTGCGAGTGCCCCTGACGCTCTGCATCCTGAACATGCCAAATCCCTGGACCCTAAAACAAAGTGTGCAAATAAAAACAATAGTATGATTAATGGTGATAGTAGTAACAATAATGATAATAATGATAACAACAATAGTAACAATAATAGTGATAATAATAATAATCAAAATCATAATAATAATAACAACAATAATAGTAATAAGGGTCAGACTCTCAGCCAGGATGCAGCTCGAGTTGAGTAGCATGGTAGCGGCTCTGCGCAGGGCATACGAAGTCGATCCTTCCGTGACACGAACATCTCGAACACCGGGGTTTAGGGGTTTAGGGTTTAGGGAACAAGCCAGAGTGTCAGGCCGCTGGCAACAAAAGTGGCAGCGAAAGTGCGTGGGTTGAGTACTCTGAGAGGCTGAAGATGGATAAATAAAGGCATAAAGGGTATCCTGTGATAGCCTCGTGTAGTCAGTCTATGGTCATACCGTCATACTGAAATAACCTAAATCCTAAGCCCTCAAACAAAATCACAAGACTCTACTCAAACGTTCCAGCCCGATCACCCGACCTTTGACCTGTGCAGGACGACAATTTCGGCTTCGTCTCGGCCAAGGTGCAGATCACAGTTTACCCATAGGCCCCTAAGTAGTTCCTTTTATGGTTTATATTTAGAATCCTATAAGGTAATCCCAAAAAGGAACCACTTAGGGGCCTCTGGGTAGGTTTTAGGAGTTTGGGTTTTAGGGTTCGGATCTGGGGACAAAATAAGTCCTAAAACCCCTAAACCCTAAAACCCTAAAACCCTAAAGCCCTAAACCGTGGCTAATTCCCAGCTTGAGCTTGAGAACTCTAGAAATTGGCCTTCAATCCCTCCGTCACGAAGCCTTGAACACTAAACTCCAAGCCCTAAAGCCCTAAATCCTTAAGCCCTAAACCCCTAAACCCTAAACCCCTAAAGCCCTCAACCCCTAAAGCCCTAAACCCTAAATCTTTGAGAAAGAGAAGCGCTCAGCGCAGGGGTTGGAGCCTCCAATGATGATCGTCTCGCTCCCATACCGCCGAAGGCTCAGAGCATGGCTAGGGTGTAGAGCTTAAGGTTCAGGGTTTAGGGTTTAGGGGTTTAGGGGTTTAGGGGTTTAGGGTCTGGGGGTTCAGGGTTCAGGGTTTAGGGGCTTAGGGTTTAGGGGTGTAGGGTTTAGGGTTTAGGGAGTTTCGCCAAAGTGTCCGAGCCCCTTGCAAACTGTAGACTCCTGCGGTGAACAGTTGGATAGAAATCGATCGGGAATCGCGGCTCTGGATATGCAACCATGAGTGACACCATGATGCTAGCAGTAGAACTGGGGATGAAAGAGATCTGCCTTCGTTAGTGCCGTTACCCTCTCCCATGGAGCTGATGGAGCTAAGGTGCCATCGAGTTGCTGATGGGCGAGCCTCGCTTGCAACAGGGTAAGCCACGGTAAGCCACGGTAAGCCACGGTAAGCCACGGTAAGCCACGGCTTTAGGGTTTAAGGTTTAGGGTTCAGGGTAGCTGCCCTCACTGCCTTGATTGCGTGCAAGTTTCCACATGCTCCTCGGACTGTCACATGTGTCGCTTGTTGCCTCGGAGTATACTGACCTAGTGAGCCATTTAATTTGACATGGGAAGCTCTTGTTGGGTGATCAAGCTGACACAGTCTGTGGACTGCTTTCCTATCCAAGTTGCACTAGACAGCACCCAGAGTGCCCAATACCCCTTAACTAAGGAATATACCTTAAATCACAGTATTCAGGTCCCTATAGTTTAAGGTCTATTCCTTAATTAAGGGGTATTGGGCTCTCTCGGCAAGTGCGAAAGCAGCCTGCTGCCCCGCTGCAAGCTGAGGACAGGCACTACGGCCCTGGTTTGGATATTTGGTCCGTCGGCTGCATCTTGGCAGAGCCGGGTCCCCAAGGTTTCCCAGAGACTCCAAAACCCCTAAATTAAGGAATATACTTTAAATGAAAATAGGGACCCTAATAAGATTTGAGGCGTATTCCTTAATTAAGGGTTTTTGGAGTCTCTGGGTTCGCAAGACTGTACATACTCTTGTGGTCCTTCTGACGCGGAGTCACTTGCTCGAACTGGTCGAGGATTCTCCTGTGCCAAACTGGCCGGCGGCAGCCCTTTTTTGGGGGGGATCCGGAAAATCCCAGCAAGCCGCAGCCTTAAGATGGGGCACTGCTCTTTGCAGTCGCTGGCATTCCCTAAGCGGCTTGAGACCAAGCGACTATGTGCGCGTATATGATCATAGACGTTAGACTGGCTCATGTAGTTCCTTCTTCGCGTACTTCTTTAACAGTTTGTGTATTCATATTCGCATGCGTATGTACATCTGACATCTAGCATCTCCTATCCACCTGTCAATCCATCTATCCATCTACCAGTCTATCTAATCTAGTTATCTACCCACCGATCTGCCCACCGTCCTACCTATCTGTCGACTTCCATCCATCCGTCCAGCCAGCCAGCCAGCTAGCCATCCACACATCCATCCATCCATGCATCGATTTTTTCATCCATCAATTCATTTGCGTTTTCGTCGAGCTATCCAGACTTGACCTATCTTTGTAGTTGTAGTTTATCTATACATCCACTTATCCTTCAGTGTATTAATTTACCTGTTTTATCCTTTGATGTGTCTGCCTATCTGTCTGTGCATGATCTATCTATCTAAGCACCTATCTATCTGTCTGCCTGTGTGTCTGTCCGTATGTCTGTCTATCTGTCTCTTTGTCTGTTTGTCCACCTGCCTGGCTATCCATCTATCTACCTGCCTGCCTATCCGACTATCTCTCTATCCATCTATCTACCTACCTATCCATCTATATATGTCTTTGGCGATGTCGGTCCATGGCGTGTGATGGTACATGTATGCTTACATACATACATACATGCATGCATGCATACATGCATACATGCAAACATGCAAACATGCATACATGCATACATGCATACATGCTACATACGTACACGCATACATACATACATACATACATACATACGCATACACACACATACAGACACATACAGACACGTACAGACACATACAGACACATACATACACATACATACACATACATACACATACATACACATACATACACATACATACACATACATGCACATACGTGCACATACATACACATACATACACATACATACACATACATACATACATACATAAATACATACATACATACACATGCATGCACACACACACATACATACTTACATTACATTAGGTTACATTACATCATTCACGTTACAATACATACATGCATACATACATACATACATACGTACATACCTGCATATCGTATGATATATGTGTCTATACGCATTATGTGTATGATTTGGACCGCTGCCTCGTCATGAAGAAGTGTCGGGCAAAGGACCGTCCTGGCCTATGTCGAAGAGATTTTCTACATCATGGGCAAACCCACAGATGAGTTGGGCGCTTACAGAGAAGCGCATGTGGCAGTTTTCAGCTTCAGGGTTTTAGCATCTAGATTTAGGGGTTGAAGCCTTTGACTGCAAGGGTGACGCTATCCCGCACTGAGGACGTGGCCAGGACTCTGTAAACTACCGAACTACCGAACCTACGTGTCTGGCAAGGCAGCGGGAGTCAGATCTGCCCGGAGCTTTGCTGCAAAAAGCATTGACTGACGGCGTGACGCCCTCGTTCGATTAGCTACCATGCTTAAGTTATATGTAGCTTTGTATACATATATATATATATGTATACATACATGTACATATAGAGAGAGAGAGAGAGCGAGAGAGAGAGAGAGAGAGACATACATACGGTTACATGCATACACATACAGTAGGTGTGTGTGCCTTTTCTTATGTGGTTGCTTATAGTCCTCCTCTAATTTACTGAGCCAGCTTGCGTCATGCCTTGTCGCAGATTTCCAGCGCCAAAGCGCACAAAGAGCAGGGAGATGAGCTGGGGCCCAAGTACTGGGCGAGCATTTTGTATAGGGGCCTCAATAATTACCACTACTATTGCGGGGGTTTCTTGTTATGGCTATAGTATAATATATCCCAAAACCCTATTCTAATTATTAAGGCCCCTACATTATGCAGCCGAGGCAAACTGAAGAAAGGGGTTTGTGGGGCTTAATATGGGGCGTCAGGGCATTGTACAGGAGCTTGACATTTACTAATGCTATCCGCTGCTATCCTTTAGGTCCTTTGCGCGTGTCGTTGCAGTATACACACCCCCGAAGGCCCAGTCTAATTTTTTCAAGCCACTATATCATGCATGTTTGGCAGTGTGATGGGGTTAAATTTGAAGGGATGTATGGGAGCATCAATCGTTCCTAATTTTGATCCTGTCGATACAACGCTCGAAAAACCTTGTAGGTATGAAAATTCTCTTAAGTATTTGGGATCCTCGAGTCTACATCGTTGCCCTCTAGCAACTCGGGAAGCTGAAGGCTTAAACAGGGTATAGGGTCTAGGGTTTAGGAGGGCAGAGACAAAAGAACCATCAAGCCGAAATCTCTAGCTTTTTTCTGTAAGTCGGGTTAAGAATGAGCCCGTAAACCCCTGCCTGCCTGAAGCTGCGCACCAGAGATGCTGGAAGAACCCCCTGATCACGACCATGAGCACAGCATCCGGAAAGCTTGATTCCTTGAACCCGAAACCCTAAACCTCTAAACCCCTAAACCCCCAAAACCCCTAAACCCTAAACCCCTAAGCCCTTTCCATGCCCCTTAGAAAGTGTGTTAGCAGCTGAAGCTCCTACACTCCACAGACGCGGCTTCCTCCGGCGCTTCTTCCGCAACGGAATTGGCAAGCCCGCCGACTCCAAGTGAGCCTTCGGGGGCCCTAGAAATTTAGGGTTTAGGGCTTATAGAGTCTAGGGTTTTAGGCTTTATAGAGTTTAGGGTTTAAGGCAATTATAGGGTTTAGGGCTTATAGAGTTTAGGGTTCGTTTTGATGGAGAAAACCGCTGCCGAGTTATAAGTCGGCCGCGGCACGTTTCCTGCGGAAGTCGTGTGCAGCAGCAGCTTGCGCATCACTCTTGAGCTCTTGTGGTTCGGGCGTGCCTAAACCCTAAACCTTAAATTCGAGCTTTCGGCAAGCGAGCCAACTACGTCGCAAGCCGCGGGCCGACCGTCGCATGGGCTCTTCCTTTTCATGCGGATCGGTTGAGGGGTTCAAGTCGCACCTTCGCCGTTGATTCGACAAGGCTTTCTGCGGCACTAAGGTCCTTGATACGGTTGATGATATAAATCCTGCATGACCTTAAGGGCCCTAAACTATGGGAATTATGGTATATTCCCTATTATGGGTAATGCAGGATTTATATCATCAGCCGTAGCCCAACACACTCCAACCGAAACCTCAAAGCCCCTGAGCAACACAACGAAAAGCTCCAAAGCCGGACGAACCCTGCAGCTCTTGCAGCCTCGAGCCCTTAGCCTTGACCCGGCTTAGGGTTTAGGGTTTAGGGTTCAAGGGTTTAGGGGTTTAGGGTTTAGGGTTTAGGGTTGAGGAGATCCCGACGCTGCAAAACTTGAAGTCTGGAATAGGTATTGCCTGACAGAAAGCTTCTTCGAGATGCTGGGCGGTTTGCTCTCGCCCAATCCTCAGGTTTTTTGCGTGGCTTCTAAAGGGATTCCATCTGGGTTTTTTTTACCTAAGTTAGGGTCCCCTTTTCAGGGTCCCCAATATAGTACGGCACCCTTTTAAGAGGGACCCTAAACGGGACCCTACTTTAGATAACAACCCAAATGCGGGTCGGAGGCTTTACGGGTTTCGGATTCAAGATTTCGATTAGGGGTGAACCATCGCAGGGGGCCCCAGAACCGACTCTGCAACAAGCCCGTGTCGGAAGCACACTGGTATCTTGCAGCGCGGCTTGCCGCAGTTGCTTGGTTCTGACAGTCAAAATACGGCTTAGGCTTTAGGGTTTAGGGGGTTTAGGGGGTTTAGAGGGTTTAGAGGGTTTAGGGGGTTTAGGGTTTAGGGTTACTGTTCATGAAAACAAGCGAGGCTTTGCCCAAAGCATCGCGTGACGGCGGCCGCGAGCTTAGGTGCAAGCCATGCATCAAAGTCAAGCTTCGATAGAGGACCGATTTAGGGTTTTACAGTTTTAGGGTTTAGGGTTGAGAGCCATGCATCCAAGGCAAGCTTCGATAGAGGTCCGGTTTTGGGGCTTTTTACAGTCTTTTAGGGCCTTGGGGGGGGGGGGCATGAGGAGTTCAGGGCTTAGGGAGTCTTAGAAGTGCATTGGAGATCCGCGGGTGGGCCTCTGGTAGCGTAAAGCCCCTCAGCCCTATAGACCCAAAGCCCCTAAACTCTAAACCCCACACCCCCAACCCTCAAAACCCTCTAAGCCCATCTAAGCCCTAAATCCTTGTAATACCCTATAATGAACTCTAAACCCCAAACCCCCAACCCTCAAAACCCATCTAAGCCCATCTATGCCCTAAAGCCTTCTAATACCCCCTAAACCCTACAGCACCCTACAAGCGCCCTCTAAAAGCCTTATAAGGGCCCTTTCATACCCCTATAAGAGCCCTGAGTCCTAAACCCTAAACCCTAAACCCTATCAGAGCCCAAGAAGGAGCCCTAAACCCTAATGAGCCCTAACCCTACACCCTAGCAGCAGTCAGAAGTCCGACTTGGCGATGAGGCGGAGGCCCTGCAGCACCCGTTCTTCACCAAGGCGCCTCTTTGGGAGTTCAGAGCCCCGAACGAATGGGCTCCTGTAAGGCTTGTATAGGGCTCTTTTTTGGGGGCTCTGATAGGGTTTAGGGTGCAGGGTTTAGGGCTTAGGGCTCTTTTGGGGGTTATGAAAGGGCTCTTATAGGGCTCTTCTAGGTATGTGTCGGGCTCTTAACAGGATTCTTCCACGGCGAGGTATTTTAAATGAGTTGAGGACGGCCAGACCCCCGGAGAGACGAAGGTACGGTTGATGATGTAAATCCTGCATTACCCCTCACACGGAATATACCATAATAATTCCCATAGTTTAGGGTCCTCAAGGTAATGCAGGATTTACATCATCAACCGTAGCACAAAAGTGCTGCTTGAATCGTAAACTGAAAAGAGTTCCCTCCGCAGGGGTAGTAGGAGTGGAGGGTAGTAGTCACCTGTTGGCCCGGGCCCCACGGCCGACGGTAGTATAAAAATTGTCTTTTTGGGCATTTAAACGCCCTAAACCCTAAGCCCGTATACTTTGAAACTGTTATCGGGTGCCCCCAAAGAAGAATCCCAAGCTATAGTAGAAGCCCAAGAATTGGAAACCCAATAGCCTCAATCCTTAAGAGTACTGGATAGAGACTCCCAGCACTCGTTGTCCTTAATCCGGCTTCCAACTTTTTTGGGGTTTTATTCTAGCCAAACCCATAGCTGAAGCCTAAAACAAGCACGAGACCTCCAGGAAAAGCCGGTGCCAGAATGGCACGCTTGGCATTGGGCGTTGGCCAGCGCCGACATCCCCCGGGGGGCCCGGGGGCGCAGCTTTCCTTGCTTTAGGGTTTAGGGTTTGTGGCTTTACATGATATTCTGCTATGATGTTTTTGTTTGGCTTAAAGGTTTGGGGAGTGGTGGTTATGGAGGTTAAGGATTTTGCAGGGTCTTGGAGCTGGCAAGGGTCATTTCACGGTTCATCTCACGCCCATACCCTGACCCCTACCTGATGCGTCTACCCCGGCTACCCCAATCCTAAACGGTATTCTGAAACACACTTCACACAACAGACAAATCTTAAACCTTATCCATTCTACACCCAACTTCCACCCAACACTTTTTATCATAACAGTAAGCCCAAAGCAACCACCTAAACCCATGGCCTCATTCAATACAAACCCTGAACCAAATCCACCTAAACCATCCTGAACCTTATCCATTGTATAACAAATAGCCTAACCTGATTCTGTCCCCTGATAGAAAAAACACGCCCAACGGATAGACGTTGAGGTAGGGGTTTGGGTTTAGGCTACATGGTGGGACGTCAGGGTTTTCCGGGTTTCTTTTGGGTGCTGGCTGTGGTGAAGAGCTGAAGTGCGGGATTGAGGTTCATGGGTTGAAGCAGGAGCCCCCATGCTTTCAGATGGAATTTTTGAGGGGTCCCAAAGGAGTGCGATTTTGGAGTGGCCGAGCGAAGAGATGGAATCACAAAACGACGAAAACCCGCGAAGCCGGAAGCGGAGCTTTCAACCGAGCTGAGCCCCGCTGAAGGATGAAGCCCGGAAGAAGAACAACGACGAGGACGAGGTTTGCAAGCTGTCGGCTTCGGATTCGGGAGAGGGGTTTTTTCGGGTTTAGGGTTTAGGGTTCAGGGTTTAGTTTTCAGGGTTTAGGGTTTAGGGTTTCGTATTTTGTAGGGTTGTTGGGCGGCAGGGTTTCGCTGGAAGCATTCTAGGATGTTTTGGTGCAGTCGGATGTGGAGTTTCGCGAGAAACCACGAAGGACCAGGGATCTGAAGCCCCAAGAAAAGGTCCACTTCAACATTATGGCCATGATAATGAGAATGTTTGGAATAGCATGTATGCATGTATGCATGTATGTATGTATGTATGTATGTATGCGTGTATGAATGTATGTGTAGAATATATGTATATACGTACATACACACGTAGATAGATAGATAGATAGATAGATAGATAGACAGACAGACAGATAGATAGATAGCTAGGTAGGTAGGTAGGTAGATAGGTAGATAGGTAGATAGGTAGATAGGTAGATAGATAGATAAATAGATAGATAGTATAGTTAGATAGATGGATAGTTTGATAGGTGGATAGATAGATAGATAGATAGATAGATAGATAGATAGACACATAAAACGATAGAACGATAGATCGATAGGGAGATAGATAGCTGGATAGGTAGGTAGGTAGGTAGGTAGATAGATAGATAGATAGATAGATAGATAGATAGAGACAGAGAGAGAGAGATACATATAGATAGGTAGATAGATAGATAGATAAATAGATAGACAGATAGATAGATAGATAGATAAGTCGATCGGCCGTTACATCGATAGATAGATAAATAAATAGATAGATAAATAAATAGATCGATAGGTCGATAGAGCGATAGATAGTTAGAAAGATGAAAGATAGATAAATAGATAGATAGATAGATAGGTAGGAATAGACTGAGACCCGAGGTGACAAACTCCGAAGCCTTGGCCGCAAAAGCCCGCAAGCCTCAAAACGTAGACATGTCTGCCGGCCATCCTACGGAGGCTCGGAAGCTGCTCAAGCAGCTCAGCAAAGAGGACGTCGGTGTGGGACTCGGAGGTTGCTATGTGGATCTTTTCACTCGATGGCTCTCGCTCCCGATCCCTGTCCCTCTCTCTCCCTCCCCCTATTCCGCCGATCAGTATAATCCTTAAATATTCCCACAGCTTGACCGACATCAAACCATGTATTATTTATCCATCAGCATCCACATTTGTTCAGCCTTCTCGTTGTTAGGTACAGAGGAAGCTGGTGACAAGACAAACGGTGGCAAGGCCCATGAACACAGGAAGACATGGGCTACCTTGCATGCAGGCTGACATTTGGTGCCTAATCATGGCTTGATCCCGGGCATCATGGCGTGTTACAGTTTGCCCTAAACCCTAAACCCGAAACCCTAAACAAACCCGAAACCTTAAACCCTAAACCCGGCGAAGCAGGCGAAAGCAGTGTTGGAGAAGTGGCGAGAGCAGGCGGAGAAGCGACAGCAGCAGGACTGCAAAAATGCCATGTCTCGGAGTCTGGTTGTTCCGCAACCATAGCTTCCGTGCGCGTCTGTCCTTCACGTGGACGAATGCAGATAGTCTCAAACCTGACATGTGCAGGAAATCAAGCGCACGAACTCGATGAAGTCAGCAAAGGCCTGCTGCAAGAGCGCCACTACTCTTCCACGAGCATTTACTTGCTGCTTAGCCATTTCTGACGGTGCATTGAGGACTGTCATTCGTGAATGATTGCAAGTGCAGGGCTTCATAATGACTTGATGAGGGTGTTGCAAGGTGTTTTCTGGCTGAGTGTGTAGGTTTTTTTGTGACGTTGCGGCATCATTGCCTTTACCACCTGAAGAGTCTGCAACATTACCATCCTTTCTAGAGCTTGCCGACAACTTTCCTTCAATAACGACGGCTTTTTTTGCTAGGGACTTCGTAGGGAGGTGCGGCACCCGCAGATCCGTAGGCTCATGCTCAGTGCTGGTCCGGGCCGGTTCCCCTGGAGACATGCGACGACTGCGGTCATGGTATCATTTGCGGTTTAGGGTTGTGTTAATCTGGGAGATGCCCTGGTTACTTGGCCCATAAAATCCGAATGTAAAGGCACCCCCTAAAACCGAAACCCCAGAGAGTGAAAAGAGCCCTCCAGAAACAGACATTCCCAGAGGCCAAGCTCCAAACTCTAATCACCCCTTCCCCTCACAAGAGCCAAAACGCAGACCCCTGAAGTTAGAGCTTATAGCTCGTAAAAACCTTACTTACGAAGTCCCCGGATACTCCAAGTAACCCCCATGAAGGCCTTACTATACAAACACATAAAATCTCATAAAGCCCTGTCGTCTCTATACTCTAACCTTACGACTCACGTACGTCCCGAGCATGTCTCCGGATCCCCTTTGCCAGGCTCCCGAGGAACTCCCTGCGGGCTGGACGAAGCATTGGTCAAGTTCGAAGCAGCGGTTCTACTATCATGACGGCAAGACAGGTAGGGTTTAGGGTTTTAGGGTTTTGGGGGTTTAGGGTGAAGGGCTTGAGTTTCGAGTTTGAGCGCTTCTACTACCATGGCGGCGAGCCTGAACACTATGCCTAAAACTTGAGGGGTGGTCTTGAATTGAAGGCAGTTTTGGGGATGGCGAGGCCGGCCGGAATGAAGCGGGGTACCCTAAACCCCAAACCCTAAACCCCTAATCCCCTAAACCCTAAACCCTAAACCCCTAAACCCTAAACCCCCAAAACCCTAAACCCCGAAACCCCTAAACCCAAATAAACCCGAATCCCCTAATCCCTAAAAATTAGAAATCTCGAGGCTCGCAGTTTTCACTGTGACATCGGAGAGCGGCAACGAGAGTCCTGGGAGTGAGGATTCAGGGGTTTAGGGGTTTAGGGGTTTAGGGTTTAGGATTCAGGGCAAGTCCAGGGTTTTGAGGCTTCCATGGGTTTTAGGGAGTCTCTGAGGCTAAAGCTAAGTAGGCCCCGGGCGTAGCCAAATTGCGCCCTAAACCCTAAACCCTACAAGCCCTATAAGCCCTAGACCCTATCCCCTATAAACCCTAAACCCTAAACCTTATACCCTATAAACGCTAAACCCTATCCCCTATAAGCCCCTATAAGACTAAACCCGGCAGGCAAAAACAGCTGGTCCTTCCCGTCGAAAAGCTGAGGTCTGGACCGGAAAAACCGCGTGCTTGCATCGTTTGTGACATTCTTCTGCGTTTAGGGACTAGGGCTTGCGGCCTTAGGGTTTAGGGGTTTAGGGATTAGGGTTTGGGCAGTCTTTGTTAGAGCTATCGACGAATCGATGTATCAAGAATGCTATCAGACCATACTTCTGTAGTGGTTTAACTCTTCTTCTTCGATGTCGAACTTACCACAGACCCTCATGCTTAGTTTCATTCGAGTCCACTGAAAATGGTAATTACAATCATGAACATATTGGAAGGTCTGTCATATGTTGCAGACTATGTTTATGATTACGGTTGCGATTCAGGGATAACTTTGTTCAGCTACACCAGCTTGTCTCGGCAAAGGTCACCAACCGCATGTCAAGTTTTGGCTGTCTTCGTGGGCTATAGTGGTTTGGACAAAGCCTCTCTGCAGAGACACAACGGCTTGTCCAAAATGAAGACGTTTTCTTTAATCCTACACCCTACTCCTAAACCGGCACTGCCTCCACCCAAATTTGCGCAGTAATTCTCGTGGGAGTCGAGAAGGGCTAGAGCTCTAAGGGTCATATCATCAAAGTGAATGATACCATACTATACCATAGTATGTAATGTCATAAATTACAGTATATTACATTATACTACGTTTTTGTATGACATATTATCAGCTGGGTGTTCCGGTTAGCGTTGTCGGGAACCCGTCCATCTGCTCCCCGAGCAAAGGTGACCGTTCAACCGCAGCTGTTTACTTTGTGACGAGTGGCGTGCTTGACGGTCCGACTCGGGCTTTTTTGGGGTTTAGGGTTCAGGGTTCCTTTACGGGTTCTGCTGGTTCCCTTAATTGGAGCTCTTCGGAAGACCAGGTTGGGATTAGGAGCGAAGTCGGGAGTCTCCAGATGTTGCGTGCAGTTCGCTTCCACGACGTCAGAGCCAGGTTTGGATTGCTAGCATCCCCGAAAAGGCACCCAAAATATGCTCTCAACTCGACTCGTGAAGAGCTGTAATTAATAATCTAGGTCTAGGTGCACTCCGTTTAAACCTTGAATAGACCCCTTACCCGACATGACGTTCCAAGCCATGTCGCATTTTCGCCTTGAGCAGAAGTTCACACTGGGCACATGGGTGGCTCGGCCAGACAATCCCTGATGGCCCAAGGCTGCTTTCAGGGGTTTAGTGGTTTAGGGTTTAGGGTTTAACTGTTCTTGTTCGATGTGGGCTTGGATCAAGCAGTCTGCAAGCATTGCTGGCAGCAAGAATGGCCCCCGTCACTACAATCCGGGCAGGTGGAGCGAGGTGCTATCTTTAATTCTGACCGATGCTCCAGGCTTGTAGACGGGCTCCAGCTCAAGCTCTCGTCAATGACCTCGAGGAAACACCCAGCAGTGTCTAGACATGTGTTGGTTTTGCCATTCTTCACATGCCCGTTGTGTTGTAGGCTGGCCTCAGCGACTATATTGACCATTGCGTTTGTAAGCGTCACATCGCAGAATGAAGATGCTGCGCGCAACGAGGTAGTCCGTTCCTGGATTCCTGTGAGCCTGTGAAGTATAGGCTTCTTCTTCTTCGTGATGCTGTCTTGAATCTTCCGTCAGGAGCATATCTACTTCATGGTGCTAGTTCGGGAGTACCGGCGAGCGTCTTATTCCGAACGCCCAAGGTCACTGTAAGAGAAGACCGTCGACGAGCGATCGGCAAGAACGTGTCCGGGACACCTGTGTCCTGGCATCTTCTTCGGGACATGACTACATTTTGCTGCGTAGACCCCTTCAACTTCTGGCAGGCTTGAGATAAAGCCGGGCAGCTTATCAGCCAATCAAGTTCTTTGTGTCATACTGCCCATGCGAGAGCACTGCCTTACATGCTCCGGGCTTCACTTCCCCAGCGTCGAGCTGGAACTGTCGTAGTTCATGATCATGGCAAGAAACCCTAAACCCCTAAACCCTCAACCCTAAACCCTCCACCCCTAAACCCTAACCTCTAAACCCCCTAAACCCTAAA